ACAATAACACACTATAAGTTATATTACACAAACAATTTAAAAATGACGATATTGTACTTCAAATGTGGAATAACATTTGTAACTGTGTATACCTAGTTGTCACTACAGAAAGAATATACCACAGAATTGATTACTTTTTAAATTTAATCTATTCTGTGTACAATGTACATATAATTTTATTTATAACTAGTTTAGATATCTATTAAAATTTTAATTAGCAAATAATACCTAAATCAGATTCTGGAAGCTCAAGCATCTGTTTAAGAAGATCTTTACTATATCCATCTTTTATGTTAACTGTCATAAAAGGTATTATTTTTTGTACAAAAGTGCTCCAAGTATCAAATAGATGGTTACCTTTACCAGGATAAATGAACTCAAAATCAATATCAATCTATAAAATATAAGCAATACAAATGAAATTTAAGATATCAATTTGTTTATGTGCAAGTTTTAACAAATATACTATACCAATTGATGAGCATAAGATTGTTTATATATAGGCCAATGTTCTAATATATCAGTTATTTCAATACTATTTAATGCAAGAAATTTTTGTCTATGTTCAATTGTTTGTTTCCATTTGGTCAGAACTTCATCTATAAGGTCGACATTAAATTGAAGCCATCTCTTCAAACTCAATATTGTAGAATCTAATAATGAATTCCATTAATAATTGGTTATTTTGTACAACTACTACCTACATAGGTATTATGTGATATTTGTATACTAGATTATCAACAATTAACAAATATTACCATCAGTTTCAATAGTCAAAGGAGAATTTAAAACAGATTTATCAAATGATGATCTGTCACTATTATTCAAATTTGATTTAGCATGTTTTTCCCAGAGGTCTTGTCGTTTTAACTTAGTAATTGTATTGTGGTATTTTTGATACAACATACCTTTAGGTTTTTTCTTTGGCACGTTTATAAAATATGCTTCCTACATTTGGTAACAAATTTATGAATTAAGCTTATTATTGAACAGCTAATTTTTATAAGTATCGTCAATCAATATATTTTTATACACGCACCTTTACTTCATTGAAAAATTGAACAATACTATCAGCAATATTGTCCATGCATTTCGGAGAAGCATGTATTTTATTTTCAATTAAGTGCTCAACAATAGTTTCAACAATATTTTTTCTACAAGCTTCAGACAGTATATTATTTTTATTAAAATAACTTAGCACTATATTTCCTTTGGGTGATTTCTTCAGAATGCTTTCTATATCAAACTATTGATTTTTTTATATTAAATTTAATTATTAGTTTTTCTCAATTTTCCCTAATAGCCACCTACCTAATTATCCAACATTTATAAAAGTATTTAAGTATACCATGTATATTTACCATATTTGTATCTATAGATGCTGATGACGAGCTTGAACTACGTGAAACAGATTTAATTGAATTTGTAGAGCTGCTATAGGTATCAATTTGTTCCTGAAAAAATAAATACCTTTTTTAAAATATTGTATTAATTTATCTGTTTAAATAAATATTATTTATTTTAAGTATAACTACCTATTATTAAAAAATTAGATAAATAAACAACTTACCTGCCATTTTTTCAAGTTATGTTCAAAGATAATACGTTGACCAAAATTATGGGATGGACAAATTGTGTTCAAATGTTCAGTGGTCATGTACTGTAGACTTTCAACATTAATTCCACAGTCTAAAAAAACATTTAACACAATTTATTAAATGATTAATAATATAGGTAACTATTGTTTGGGATAATTAACTACCGGTAAGACTACTGATAATGCATTTTAAATGTATTTACTTCAAAAAAGACTTAGGTGATGAAAATTATCATCTAATTTAAGTAAAATAAAAACAACTTACCGATAAATATGTTGATAAAACATTCTCCTTTAAGTTCGATCAGTTTTTCTAACAACAACGCAGTTTCTCCGCTCAACTGAATATCATCATCACCAAAACTAATAATATTTGGTTGATCGTTTGACATAACGAACGTCAATTAAAAATATAACCAAAACAAAATGGTTTAAGCTTAAAGGTACAACTTTTATAACATATAATAATATTGTTATTATAATCGTTGTGCGACTTAGGCAGTTTGCAGTGTTTGAACTTTGTAAAAATAAGTTGCCAAAATGTCAATCAACGAAAAAAGTGAATAAAGATACAGAATAACATGTGAAATGAACGAGTGACAATAAACTATGCATCTATGCACTATGGTACGTTAGATTTGTTAGAGGTTATAAAATATAAATGCATTGTGCATAATACGATGACTGTGCGGAGTAGTGTAGGCACTATACGGAATTACCGCACTACCTATTTATACCATCGGTATTGGATTTAACGAATATTGTTCTTAAATTTAATACGTAATTTCTTATTTTAATGGTTAAGTTTATACTATTAATGAAAATATATTAAATTTAATCGTACTTATAGTATTATTTTAAACACGGTATACATTATTAATTTAAACTTATAAAGAAGATAATTTAAATACTTTTTCATACTAACTTATTACATTAATTTAAAGTAACACTAATCACTAATTTAATGAAATTACTCATCTATAAAAGTAATGACAATTTACATTATTTTTATTGGAGTAAGCATTATTTTTACTATTTATTATTAATTATTTTAAATAAAATATTTTAATCTAATTAATACGATAACATTCATTTTATGACACTTGGTATTCATTGAATTTAAGCTAATATCGTAATATTAAATCAATAGTATTAACTTTTATTAACAATTGTTTTAATATTAAAATGTTTGAGTGTACTTAATTTAAAGGAGTAACATTATTAAACTTATGCTGTATTTTTCTCTGAGTGTAGGTATACGCTTATAAAATAATAAATAATATATTATTTAATTTATTTTTTAAAACTTGTTTCATCTTTTGCTTTAAAAATATGTATTGCGATCTGTTACCAAAACTATACCTAATTATTGACGAATGATATAAAACACTTCCAATCAATATATTTATCTTTAAAATTAATTTAATTTCAATGCAAATCTAGCCTACAACTGTTATTTATTTTTATTTCTTTAATTGTTGTATGTGCTCCATTTGGTTTGTTCTTCTTTATTCATTAATCATTAGGTGCGTGTAGAGGGAGTATGGCACATCCTTAGACGTGTTTATAATACTTCTTCTTTTCTATTTAGTTTAGCAGTGATTTCGAACTCTCTGTTGTACTTTTTATTTCGCTGAGTTTGATTTCTTTCCCTCTCCATTGAGTCACCATTTTTCTCCAATCACAGTATTAATACATCGTAGAGTGTCTTCATAAGTATACAGTCTCTCGCGTATTTCTATTTGTTCATTATTGGTTGCTTTCTTTGCTAGATAGTCTACTCTTTCATTTCCTTCTATGTTATACTGTGTCCTGGTATCTAGACAATAGATATTTCATTTTCACAGTTATTTACTGCTTCTATTATTTTTTATTTTAGCCTGTTGTTGTTTCTATGGCTGCTTAAACATTTAACGGAGCTTAGTGAGTGTGTGAATATGACGTAATTATAAAGGGTAGATGGGGGTTTTTTTATATACATTTCGTATTATTTACTATTTTTTGTGTGACTGTGTAAGTTGAACATTAAAAAATTTCTATTACCTACACATTAAATATAATATAATTTATTTTTATTCATTTGGTTTTTAATGGTTCTCTAATGCCACTTATGAAAAACGTTTTCCATAAAGTGGATCAACAAATTCTGGCAGTAAACATTCTAAATAAAATCTGAAATCTGAAATATTAAATATACCGACATATATAAAACTTTCGTTTTGTTATTCGTAAAGATTCCCACACACTGCAGCGATAGCGGTGGTGGTGGCGATAGCAGTAGCATTAAAATGAGTGTGGACACAATTTACCTCCACCGCCGCAGTGTGTGTGGACCTTTACTGGTCCGTTATTTATTTCATATTTGACGTCCGTGTAGATAATAATACGTATGGTCTTTTAAGAAAATTAGTTCTCCATGATGCTCGAGACTGCAACACTCTGTAACTGAATATGAACCAACGTTACCGAACCTACGCGATGAGTAATTTATATACAATATTTTGATAATTGCCATTATTTTCTGCCAATGGAACAAGATTTTTTTCTCTCAATTTTAAGGACTATTCGAAATATCTTTTTTGAGTTCTGAAATCGAATTTTATAGTTTTTAAAAGTCTATGGTAATGTACACTTTCAGAATAAACTTTATTGTTGTATAAATGTTATTTTATTAAATCACTGTCTACGGTTAATTCTAAGACTATAGTAACATTTTATACATTATAGACTGCATGTAGTACTGGTATTATACCAATATTATTTGTTTGAAAGCCCTGAATTATTCATTCGTTCTTTCAATTATTAATTAATATGGAGTCATTAACAAACTCGCCTGCTTCAACATTTGAATAATGTTCAATTCTGTTTTTTAAGGTATATTTATAAGTTAATACTAAACATGTCGGTTGATAACTTAGGACTCGAACTTATTTCACAACCTCTCACATCCAAACGTAAATTCAATAATATGGGTATCTATTAATCATAAATTATTAATCAATAAAATAAATTGTCTGGAAATAGGTACTTGATAAGGTAAGCAGCTTGCATATTCCTACTTTTAAGTTATAATACTCGTTCCAAGACTACTTTTTACATACCTTTCCAATCACAATCTTATGGTTATAAATTATAATGAGTTTTGGTGTCGTATGTTAAGAAAATGCAATAATATCGCTTTTGAATTTAATTTTAATAACGAATTTAAACTTTGCTATTTGTGCCTAGGTTTTGGCTAATTAACTACTATGAACAATTTAATTTTAATACTTTATAATTACTGTTTTTAATATTCTATAGTTAATGTTTTTAAGGTTTTTTCTGATTTGTTAATTATAACATATAACATATTATAATATATAACATTATGACGTACACTCCTTGCCCGAATGAGCGTTAACAAATAAATAATAATAATATTAAATTTCATCGATTATCCACCTGCAATTTTTGTTCGCAATGGTATATTAAATTGGATGTAATATTTAGTTGCTTTTGTTATGTTTGAGCGGAATCGAGCATTATTTGTTAAAATATATTTCTGATTAATAAAGGATATTCTGCCTGTTTTGTGATGGCTGGTAACTTAGAAGTTTAATTTCTGAGTAAGTGATTTCGCATTCACTTTTCTTAACTCTAAAATCATTTCCATAAGGAAATACTTCATTTTAAAGTTACGGAACTGTCGTTATTTTTATTATTCTAATAATCATAAATACTATGATATAACATATTATCTACAGGTATTATAAGGGTATTTACAATAAATCTTTTTTTATTAAAAAAAGCTACATTATTGAAAATAATTTAAAATATTAATCTCATTCCAGTTTGTTATATTTCATGTTTTATACTATTCAAAAATCCTTCCAATATTGTATCTGCTTGGAGATTTTGAAAACATTAATGCGGGCTCTATTTGTTTTATGAAAGCTTATCTACAAATGAGGCAATAACTGTTTCTTATACGAAAAAAAACACTTTTTAGTAAGTACTACGTTGCTCTCGAAAATTCTTCATATTTAGTCTTCTAACACTTTTCCCGGTCACTGTTCGTCTGCAATAGTTGCATGTCAAAATATCTCTAATGGAAATATCTTCCATGAAAATATTTTAATATTTATTTAATATTAATAATTATTTTATTATTATTACAAGTACAAAATAAATTATACATATATAAAATCAATGATTGTCTATCAGTTTCTGCTCCCTTGGCTTTTTTGGGGGTCCATTATCATAATTATTATGTATTATAAAATATCACAAATTTGTTTCTTTTAAATTTTTTATTTTTGAAATTAAAATTTTATAGTATAGCTGCTAACTGCAGCTGTTAACAGATTTAATAAATAACAATAGTTGATATTAAATCACTGAAACCGACTGGTATTAAGAATTAGTAAAAATAAACTAACTTTTTTATCATTATTTTTGGTTGTTTTCTAGTTGTTTTTTATAACTGGTGATTAGTTCAGTAGTTTGTTTTGAAAATTATACTTGGCAACACTCTAGCGATTGATAATTATATTTTATGTTTTTAGACTTAAGTTTTCGAATTATTAAAATGATTTGGTGGTTTTTACTTTAACTTCTAGGTGTCACATTTATTTTAATATAAAAACCTAAAATTATCTAATCAATTTTGACATTTTTAAATTTAAAGTTACATTTTAATTAATTAAAATAATTTGTTTCAGACGAAGTTTTAACTATGTACATAATATAATTAAAATTCATAAATAACTTTTACATTACTTACCCATATGAAAAAAAACATGCCACAAACAATACTTTGAAAATTTGAAAATATTATTGCCCCTGTCTTGACAAATTTCTGCGGCCATAAATTCGTTCTCTCGTTGGTGATTTTTTTTCAATTACATTGCTGGTAGTGATGTTACTCACGGCGTGCGATGGTTGAAGGTAGATCAAGTGTAAGTCAGCCCCTATTTCTTAAAAATTCGTTCTACACATTTTGTTATGTACCTACAAACATATGATGCATTATAGATCGGTAACTACCAAACTATTTTTTATTTTATAAACTTAAAAAATAAACTTATGAAGTATAAATCTAAAAACTAATGATACTATATATTAAAATTAATAAATACATTATTTTTTGTAAGATATTTCATTTAAAATGGAATTCATGGAAATAAATATTCAATATTTGATTCCTTAAAGTATTTATTTGTACAACATAGTATAATTGTTGTTCATTATCAATTTATGGTATTTTTGTTTCTATTAAATATTATCTTATATTGTATATGCTAACATTTCAACCATATATTTAAATGTTTCTTGTCGTACAACCATTATTGTAGTATCAGCCCGTACTTTTAATAAATAAAATAAATACATAAATAATTTATTAATTTGAGTTTTTGCTTATACTATTCGTGTTAATCAGTTAATAATATTATATTATTTTGTACCTTGGTAATGTACCTACCTACATTATACACAGATAACATTTTTTAAAGCAAATGACGAGAAATCTTCCTTCAAATGCTGGTAAATTAATGTATTAAATATATCTGGTATGTAATATCTATATCCAACGTGTTTATTATATACAATTAAAAGTAGAGAGTTAAAGATCTATTTGGTATCATTTAACTGAGAACAATTTATTTTTGTTATCATAGAACAATTTAGTAGACAATACAATGTAATGTAGTCTTATTTATTAGTACCTACACACGTTTCAAATCCTTAGTGCAACATTTCCAATTTTAAACTACACTTTGTATCAGTGTTCACTGTTCACTTAAAACTAGGGGTTGCTTGAAGGGGAGTGTGCAAAATAAATCGATTCGTCGTCGCGACTTACGCCGCATACATCGCCACCACAGAAGCCCCCGAACTATAAATATGGCAGATATAGGTCCACTCAACCCGTCAACCGCCATCTGCTGTGCATCAGCTCATTCAGGGACATCATCGCCGTGGATTTTGATAAGTCGTCACCATTATTATTTATTATATCTCACGTATATTTTATTTAAATAAATAAATAATAGGTAATAACTAATAACTCTAAAAAATCTATTTATGCCAAATATGCCTTTACACCCAAAATATGCGAAACAATTATCTCAACGAAACGAGATTCTTTCTACAAAATAACAAAAGGAAAATATGTTAAAATAATATTAAATGTTAAATTCACAGCCTGTACTACATTTTATTATTTTGTTTCTGGGCATGTTGTAGTGACCTCGGATTTCTGAATCGCAAATCGCAAATAATAAATAAAATCAATTGTTTAGAAGTAGGTATACAACAGGCTACAACACGAAATAATATGTTGTAGTTACCTATCATAGAGTAAAGTATATTTATGTATTTACATTGAAGATGTGCTGGGCATAGATTAGTTGAAAATATAAGTTACATACTTGTAATTTTTTTTTTTGTATAAATAACTTCTAAGTTTCTAATTTCTAAATTTTTTCCATGCAGTAACGTATAAATCAATTAATCATATAATTATTCCCAAACTGTGAAATTTAAACGTTTTGAATATAATTAAGGTTTATCTTTTTTTCAATCGTAGAAAATAAGCATTTTCATAAGTACAGTTCACTGAATGATGGTAAATAAACTGCTGAACTTTGAAGTTTAATTCAGTGCGCTGCATGTCTGTATTGTATATAATATTATGTTCTACATGTTGGGTGTTAAGTCATTTAAACAATTGTTTAAAATATAAAATAATATCTACCTATTCTTTATTTTCTAATAATATAACTTCAACAATAAGTTAATATCAAACATTTTAGATTCTATGTGAATGTATTGATTTTGCAATGTGTTTTTTAAATTGTTTAACCCTTTTATGTATTAATCTACGATTTATTCAAACTATAACTAAAATTCATGATATTGCTCTGAACTTTTGTCATAAAAGTAATTCAAATATTTGTACTCATAACCATAAATAATTTGAAGTATTAAATTAATAATTTTAAACTTTAACTAAAAATAAATCAATAATTACTTTTATAACTTAAAAATAAAATTAATAACTCTAGCCATTAAATATTTATATGTATATTTTTGTATTGATTTCTTTTGAAATTAAGTTGTCATAATTATTATTGATTTCACGAAAATGTATGCATGTTTAGATGTCTGTAAATTGCCTTTAACATAATTATGATTAGAAATTGAATATAAATATTTAATAATGACATAGGTTCATGACTAAAATGCATTTTTAGGAACACAAACATCAAACAATAAATGACTTTTGTGTAAGTAGAAACTAACTAGTTTAGGAATTTTCTCTTCAAGAATTTTTTCAACATTATTGCAATAGGTTTGATTTAATTCTCACCATTAGTTATAGTGTAGTTTAAGAAGTTCATTAAAAAAAAACTGTTTGTTTTTAACCAAAATCTATTTAACTTTTTTATTGTCATTATAATTGTACTCCATATCTTAATCTTTTAAATAATTTTTAGAAATAAAAATTGTGAACTGATTTCTAATATTATGATAAATAATACAGTCTCCTAATTAATACAACTTAAAAGTTATTAATTCTTATAAATAAAAAAAACCATCAGAGAAGAATACATTTGGAATTGTGAAACTGGAGCTTATAAACATAACATTGATTGTAAATAAGTTGTATACATCTTAAGCATTGTGTTATGTATCTCCACTGTTAGTTGTAGGATTATCTTTTTTCATTGCGGCCAACATTGATTCAATGTCTATGATACCCGCCTAGCTTTCCACATTTGCATTGTCTTTTCCAAATTCTTTCTTAACACTTTTAAGAGTTTCTTGATCAGATTTTTCCTGCTCGGGCATGGCTGCATCGACTTCTTGTTGAACAGGCTCAGGTTTTTGTTCAGGTTTTACTTCTTTTGCAGTTGTATCTTCCTGATAGTTTTCAGTCTCTTTTGCATCGCCTGCATTTTCCGTTTTTCTGCCTTCTTTCACAGTTGCATTTCCTTCAGTTTCTGTGGCCTAAAAATAATATAAAATAAATAAGACATGACGATTTGATAAACATTAAATTTGTCCTTTACTTCATTTGAGTTTGATGTAGTTGGCTTTTTATGTTCTTTCTGAATGTGTTCAATGCATTTATTTCGAGTGTTATAGGTGTAGGAACATACTTGACATCTATAGAGTTGTTTTTTCTGTTTCGGTTTCTAGAATTAATTAATAAAAATTTTAGGGATCAAATCAAAATTGGGTCTCATATTATTAAATTAAATGTATTCATAGTAACAGTTAATGAGTTGCATGTATTATTTAATCACATATTTTTACAATTAAAAGTCAATAAATGAAAACATGAGTATACACTAGTTATATATACCATTTATAGTGAAAATGTATCATTGTTACTATTCTTATAGTAACGTGGTTCTATGATGCAAGATACAATGTATGTTGAGTGTAGGAAATGGGGTATTAATATGTACTACTAATGAAAGTTGTGAGGTGTTGAAGTACTACTGAAAGCTTTTACAACTAAATAAAAATATGGAGTGTAAAAATATTTATCAATCCTAAATTTAAAATGTATGTTGGTAGTTCTTTTTAGTCTTACCAAAGTTAACGATGTAGCAGTTGCTTCATTAATAATTGGGCTTTCTAGCGCCTTTTTGTTCTTATGAATGTTCATATGTAATCTAAAATGAAAAGTATAAATAATAATTTTAAAACAATATTAAATAATGTACATACCGAACAGTTGATAGATCTTTCGATTGGAATTCACAAATGCCGCACTGGTATATTTTAGCTTTGTCATTGAATTTTTGTTGTTGTTGTTTTTGTTGTTGTAATTGTTGTTGTTGCTGTTCTTCCAGCAGTTGCTGAGTTTTAAATAATTTTAATGGAGTTTTTATCGGAGTAACAACGGCAGTAGTAGTTGCAGTAGAAGAAACTCCTTCGGTCCAACCATTAGGTACCTTATGTTGACCTTGATTTAGTTGTTCCTTTGTCACTAAGTGTCCATTGGCAATCTATGTAAAGGATAAAGATATTTTTTTATAACAACTTAACATTATGTAGCTTGTTTCTAAGTATTTTCTATCCTTACCTCAACATCTTGTATAGCCTGATCAGGAGGTAACATTCCATATTTTTTTTGTACTTTTGACAGCATCAATTTTTGGATAAGTTTCCCCTCAGTTTCAACTTTGTCCAAATGAATCAAAAGTGAGGTACATTTCGGGCACACCTGATCAGCGGGGGTTACAATAGCCACAAATTCTTCTCCAAGCATCTCAGCAATTTTTTGTGCAAACGGTGTATCACTATGTGGTGTAATGCTTGAACACACCTGTGTACTTTCGGTGTCCAGTTTGACAGTACAAACATAACAGCATGGCATTGTATCTAGAAAAGAAAACAGTGCCATTTTTTATGTTAGTTAGGTATATCTGATAACTAATTTAACTATAACTAATACAATATTAGGGAAACTATCAAAAACAGATTATACATTATACATTATACATTTTACTTCATAATAGAAATGTACAAGTTTACAGGTACTAGAACATTGTGGTATCATCGGCAGAACTAATAAACAAAATGAACAAACAAATAATTACTTGTGATAAAAATCTGGTGAAAAATAAAAGTAGGCTGACAATTTGAGGTGAACAAAATAACGATGTGTTCGCCGCAGCCGGGAACAAAAAAAAAGCACACGGTGTCGAGTCTCTCGGTTCCTTTATGGAAAAAACGTGTGAAAGGCTGTGATACGACGGACACCAACGCCAAAAGTTAAGTTGATAACACGAAGAAGTCGATTATCGACTGAACGTAGTCACCACATCCCAGACGCCAACGTTAAAAACAGATACCAAACAAAAAACCAGAGAAAGAAAAACACCCAGCGAGTTTGTTGTTTGTAGGGGTTGATCGGTCGCGACTGAACGAATCAAAATGGCCGATCGACGTTTTCAACGTATTTGAATTACTATTTAATGAACCCGTTCTTTGTTATAGCCACGAATTAGTATCATTGACTGAAACTTAGTTTTTGATAACATAAATACAGCCTGTTGTAGATGCTTAAAATATTGTTTTGACAATAGACGCGTTATCATTACATGCCTCTGCATACCTGTTATGTGGTTGCCGCGGATGCGCCTTTATCACAAAACGGTTTCCCACCAATATTGCGACTGATATTATGTCTAGTACTATTTTGTTTTATGTTGTCAATTGTATAATTTCTGTTTGTACCAATTATTTATTACTAATTATTTATTGTCATTGTTATATTGTATTTTTACCTGCACAGTTTCACAGCTATTGTGAATTATATTAATAATTTGTCTCCCTAGCCATCGGCTACAACGCCAACGGTGAAACGAATATCGTTCTTTTTTGCCCTGACCGACCAACGGTTGTTCTCGCATCCGCAGACCTCTTTTGTTCTAGTAAAAGTACCGCGATACATACCTCTTGTCTAAGTCGCACCGACCGAGTTCCCGCCAAACCTTTTGTATTTCAGATTTTTTTAAAACGTGTCTTTTAAAAAGACATCTGCCATTACCACTCCACCAGAAACTTTTTTATTTTTTCTTATTTTTAATATCCTTCTTTTAAAGTCTTAGGTGTCTCGAAAGTTCCCTCTGCCTTGTCGCAACGATGCTGAAATATAATTATTTTTAATGGTGACACTACAGTGAACAGTTGTAAATACGAAACTTGTTATAATGTTATCACTCCTAGCATGGAACATATTAATAGAAACGACACTCGCCCCTTTAGTTTTGTTTTTTTTTAATTTCTAACGCATAATGTTAAGAATGCTTTTATCATCGAAACAAACCGCTCGAAACGGCCCGCCAATTTTTTTTTAAAAACGGCATTGCATAACTACCATAGAATAAGTAACAATATTATAATAGTATATTAAGAAAGCTTTTGATTCAGTTGATCATACAATTCTTCTCGAAAAATTGTATTACTGTGGAATAAGAGGTGCTGCTTATAATTTATTTAAGTCATACCTAAATGGTCGAGTACAAAGAGTTAAAATAGATGATTATTATAGTAACGTACAAGAAATTGATTACTCAGTACCACAAGGTACCGTATTAGGACCGCTATTATTCATAATATACATTAATGGACTTCTTAATCAAGATACACCTGGAAACATAATTTGTTTTGCTGATGATACCGTCATCTTATTAAAGAGTCCGTGTATAAATAATTTATAAAAAATGGCTGAGAAAAGTTTTCGTAATGTTAAAAGCTGGCTAGATAATAATTCACTAGAGATAAATAGTGAAAAAACTAATTACATTCACTTTGGTATACAAAAATCTATACATTTAAATAATTATAAAATCATTGCTCATACTAATAGTTGTATCAACAATAATACTAAAAATAATGTATGCAAATGTAGTGAATTAAAAAGAGTAAACTATGTTAAATATCTAGGAATATTTATTGATGATAAGTTAAAATGGGATATTCATATAAACTATTTAAATAATTCACTTAGAAAATTTTTCTATGTATATAAATCTCTTAAACCCGTTTTAAACTTCAAATTAAAAAAATTAACTTACTATGCATTAATACAATCAATTCTTTCTTATGGAATTTCTTTTTGGGGAGGGACATATCACACTCACTTTACGAATCTTGAAGTCACTTTGAACTCACTTCTTAAATTTATTTTCAATAAACCTACGTTATTTCCTACAGTTAATTTATACAAAGAGCTAAAGATATTAAATTTAAAATCACTGTATACAAAGAACATTTGCTTACTATTTTATGATATGAAAAAATATATTGATATTCCGTCTCATAATTACTATACTCGCTTTAAGATTAATACTAATGTCGTCGTCCCTAAAATGAACACAGTATTTGGGCAACAAAGCCCTAGATATAAATTCATTCAATTCTGTACTATTTATAATTTTAATATTCATAACTTTAAGAGTCTCAAGATGTATAAAAAATATATAAATAATGTTTTGTTTCAATAATCTATACTTTAATTTAGAAATTAATTTATATTTATTTTTCATTGTTAGTAGTTAAATTCGTGTTAAAATTAATTAATGTTTCTAAATAATTATATTTATCTTTTAATTATTATACCAGTATATTATAATCCACAGAATATGCTCATCTTAAAATTGTATTTACTTATGATTATATATATATATATATATATTATATAGGCTAGCCTTTATAATGCAACTACTAATTGTTCTTTTATCCTTTCTTTTATTGTCTTTCTTGTGCATACTTTACCTATTTATTTTGTTCTATTTTTTTTTTTTTTGCTTTATTAATAATTGTCAATAACGATCATAATCAATAATCAATAATATCTAAAACTGTATCACAACTCTCTCTTTTCAGCACAAGCTACGCTTTTGAAAAGAGAACCAATGTACTTTAATGTAATTTTTTTGTTTTGTTACTCATAAATTGTTTGAAATTGTTATAATTTGGTGACAATAAATATTATTATTATTATTATTATTATTATAATACATATGCATATTATTTTATAATAAAACCCATAAAAAAATTACAAAAACTTGCTTCTTACAGAAAACCAGATTTCAATCTAAGTCTGTGCATTTTTTCTCACACACTTCAAATCACATAAACACAGTTCTATATCTTTGTTTTCATTCTAAAAGACTCCAGATTATAATTTTTACCAGTGTATTTTTGAATTAGACACTATATTTACCAATCAATTTCCTACTCTATCACTACTACCAATGTAGAGCTAAAACTCAAAACTTTAATGTTAAATGTATACTTTAAACATCATTTTGAATAATTCCCTTATGAATATTTGTTAAACTTATTGATAAGATTTAGAATCTACACTACTTTAACCAGAATCAACCTTTTTTTGCAAGTTCCTCTTAGGTACAAAAAATAGAAACTTGCAAATTGTATTAATAGTAATAATATTTATTTATTTATCATCAAATGAAATATTAGTGTTTAGAGTGAGTAAGGTCAAATAAAAACAAATTATTACATCATACACGATTTAAAATAAAAATAAAATAAATATATTGTAGTAGAATAAAAAAATAATTATTATTGTAATAGTTTTTAGTGTGGGTGTATGATTATTCTACTACTTGTATTTTATTTGAAATGCATATATATGTATATTCACTTAGCTTATTCACAACGTGTGGTGTTCAAAAATTCTAAACAAATTTTGTTTATACCTTCTTAATCTTTTGCGAATCTTGCCACCTAGACATAATAGTTTGTAATGGTTATGTTGGGTGAATAATATTTGTAACACTTTAACAGCTTATAAATTAATACATTTTGTATCCATGCTAATCATGACTTATGTCTCAGCTTATTAATTTACACTTTTCAAAAGTAATTAGAGTGGATTTTCACAAGGCTGGGCAAGTTAACTATTTTTTTTAACTCGTTAAGTTAATATAGAAAAAAGTAAGTTAAGTTTAAAGTTATCATGGCCCGTTATATTGTTTTGAATTTCGTCGTCACGTCTACATATTCCGTAAGTTAATACGTTTTATTTGTTATTAAAAAATACAGATTTTTTTTTATATTAGCTTCTAAGAGCGCTGGCTTTTATAAACTGAACCTAACATAACCTTAAACGCACACTACACCCACATGCTCTGGCGCTCTGCTGTCTTTTGTCTTACAAACGAGTAAAATAATGCAAATTCGACGTTATGAGTAATCCATTTAACACTTACGATTAATATTGGGGCGAATTGGCCTGTTATCAAATTTTGTAGTATGAATATAATCTGGCGAACCTCAAACTTTTTTTTTTAGTTTTTTCATATTTTTGAAGCAAATTATGATTATTTTAAAATTGCCTTATTATACGCGTCGGAAAGTCGAAAACAACAAGTAGCAGTAGCGTCCTTTTAATAAGGGGCATTTTTTTAGACAGCAAAGATACTATTTTTTTACCTCGCCACCGCCGACTGATTATTGACTTTAAATTTAAATGATTTTCTACAAAATATTTGAGTTATGATTTCTGAAGGTGTTTCAGTTGTCGTGATAACCTTTCAGTTATTTCTATGATTTCCAAAACACAGAGCATGTAACTCTTGCGACTTAACTTCTTCGGTAAAAGACTTTTTGTTCCCAAACTGAAAATAGTTTAGAAACAAAAACTAACTTTCGTAATATCTTATATTATCAACTAACACATTTTAATTTGTACAGATCATATTCCATTATCAGAAGCTGAGGCAGAACTATGTGTATTTGATGGATTTAAATATGGGCTAGAGCCCGATAAGATTATGGACACGAACAATTCTTCCATCACCAATCGATTTTATTTTGCGATGACATGGTTAGATCATGAAC